AGCAGGAAAGCTGTTAGGGAAACATAAGCATTTTGATGTATTGTTTGTTTGCATGATTCCCAGTGCTGAACTAATACAATGCTGCCCATGTCTCACTGACTCTTTGTTACTGTGTTGGATTTTTTTTAGGGTAAGTGATAGCTAGTTTATTATCGTGGCTTAATAACGCTGTGCCCCATTTGAGCTGTGCTAACTGTCCTTGTCCGTGGTCTTAAGCTACAAAAAAGCGTGCAAAATAATTTGACCTGGTCTACTGTAACAGCGCTGAACCAAATTATCTTACATCTGTTGTAGTTCAAAAACCCCACACTCAGAGTTCCCGCAGCTCAGCTAACGTGTTGTAACTTACGTGATACGGAATGTGACATCACACTGTGCCTCTGAACTTCAAATTCTTTTCTTGTTTGTGGCTTCTGAACCCAAAATGCAGTCTGCCCTTTGCATAGTTTGGGTGCTTGCTTTCATGTTTTTGCAAGCCAGGATGTAAGTCATATTCACCAATATGCATTTATGGTTTACCCATAATCCATGTTACGTGCTTATAGATTGGGGCAAGACAACACTGATGTGGTTGCGATTACTTGGTGATGTGATTACTTCGATTATTACAGCAATTGCACAATGAATATCACTGGGCTACCACAGAACTTAACTTGGGTACAAATGCTTTTCCAAATTCACAGTTCTCCCTTGGGATTTGTTTTCTAATGCCTCTAATTATTTACACAAGCACAGAAATTCTGACAGAGGAAACAAACTGAAAAGCTAGTCCTGTATGGAAAAAGTAGCTGGTATGTTCACAAGAGGTTGTAATCTATGTTACTTTAAATATTTAATGTTTTTCCCCTCGTGCTCTTAAACTAAACTTTTGCCCTGGTTAATCTAGGGGTTCACTTATATCAAGCAGGCTCAGTTTCTTGAAATTTTGCTTGTATAGTATTAGTATCTGCTCTTTAAAATCAAAGTCACCACTGAATTCAAAAGTGTCCATTTTAGATGCAATTCCCAATTACTTTATAGTAATAGTATATACAGTGATAGTGTGTATATATAGAGGAATATATAATATATACTATAGTAATAGCGTGTGTGTGTGTGTATATATATAGTAAATAGCTCCAGTAAACAGCTAGTTATAAACCTGCCAGTTTGACCCTTATGAAAAATAGGATTAAATTTACAAATCAATGATAGTACAACAATCTGGAGCACATCATTTGTTTAGGCTCCAAGTCTGCTTCCACTGAAACCAAAGAAGCTCCAATTAACTTTTAAACATGGGTAAGAGGACACTGAGAAGTCTTGCAGATGGAAATTGGATCAACCTCTACTTCAACTTAACTGTGCTTCCGAATGTGAAGAGCTGGATGGAGCGTGCTCCCACGTCCTGGGGGAAGAAGGACTGCTTACCTTCTGCAGAAAGAGAAAACACTTGTTTCGTTATTTGGAAAAGACCAATTCTAATGATGTTCATGGCAGCGATTTACTTGGTAGTGCATGAAAAGCTGTGCTCTGATTTATGAAGTACCTTAAGAGAGATGCTAGTTCCACTTAAAAGAGCAAGATTCTTAGGAAACACCAGCATGCTTCCCTGAACACAATCAGATCAGCTTTATTTTATTTTATTTTTTTAACAAACACCTTATATCACATTTTTCCAGTAACATATATGTTCCAATATGTAGCCAAGTCTTTCTAACGGTGAAGCTGCTATACAAACCTTCTGACCGGACCGTTCCGTTTACAGTCAGTATTTTGTGAAAAGAGTAAAACTCTGGAATACCCCTTTTTAGGATTTCCGTGAGGCGGGTCTGCCATACCTCGGGTCAGACTGAAAGAACAGGCTTAAATTCCTGCAGTTAGCTTTTCTATTTGGGCCACTAAGTTAAGAATTAAAGTAGAAGGGAAGAAAACCATCTTTTTTTCCCTAGCCGTTCATAAGATAAGCAAGGCACGTGTTGGCCTCGCTCCTTGAATGCAGAAGCTTGAGCAGATGTTTCTGCTCTTTTTTCTTATATGGCTCCTGTAACCGCCCAGTTAAGTACAAGCAACCGAGAAAGCACTGTAACTTCAGCAGGTGAGTCTGAACGACCTGCCCCAGAACATCCCTGTGGCCTTTCAGTACATGCCAGCAGCAAAAAAAAAAAAGGCTGCATACTTCTGCTTTCAGCCTGTCATCAACAGCGCCACTATCACAGGAACGCCGAGCTTGCTTAATAGAAAGCACCAATGCACCACTGACAGTACATTAATACTTCAAATTTTTATTCTAAATTTTTAAGTGTCGCTCCATCAATACGATGAACGGTTCTCTCGAGTAACTGAATCCTTAACAGAATGACTGAGGTTTAAAATTATTTTTCCCTAGCCCAAAACCAAAGGACAGCCTTCCAAACAGCTTGTTTGGGTACAAAGTAAGCTCACCTCACAAAAATCCAATAAATGACTTTATTAAATATATTCTTTTCCTCTAAAATATAAATATTCGCTATACTCTTATAAATGTGGAGTAGGTCCATATTTCATTTGTCTATCCCATCCAAATATGAATCAGTCCAAAATCTGAAAATGAAGAAATAGCATCTGTAATTATCATTATTTTTTCTATAAATATATATAATACGAATTTTCTTTGCAAACTGTTTAGTTATTCACTTATACTTCATATAGTACTGAGCACCTTAGATTACATATTGTGTCATTTCATTGTTGGTACTAATATAGGAATTTGTAATATTTACAATTCACATACATGTTAGGTATAACATTCCAGTGATTTTTAAGTGTTAAAGGAATAAGGAAATAGTGCAGTATAGTTTACATATGTATTTAACCTACCCCACGGTATGCAAGTTTTCACTTCAATCTCTGGAACTTTGATAGGAGCCCGCGTCCAAATTTTTAAGTTACACTTTGGAACAGCAATAAAAATGTCCTGAACCACTTTTTAAAAACTTCACACAACGGTTTACTTGACGATGTGATGTGAGTTCGTACTCACAGACCCAGTCCCCCAGCGTACCGACTGCTCTCGGCTCCTCAGAAGATGTTCTCCTAGAAGCTTCCAAGCCAAAGGAGACCCAAGTAACTGCCACAGAAAGCCATGTGAACGGCAGTGGTCGCTAAACGAGAAATGTCCGTTTGGAAATTATTGGTAAGTTATGTAACGTTATCTCCTACCTTGTGACTTTACACGAGGAATTGATTTTGAAGTGCAAGTACCGTGACAGTAAAAACAAAGTTCACAGCTAGGTGAGTCCCCTCCCAGGCTTGCTTTTGCCTGATGAGAGGTGCTGGGAGTGGGGCTGCTCTTCCAAATGGCGATTTAGCTGTTCTTCAATGATTATTTTCTGTATTTGTGAATTCAGCCCATCATCTTAATTTTTTAATTAGTTTCGATAAGTAAGATACTACGGAAACCACCACGAACTAATTCCTATGCTGTGAATAAACAGCGTGACTTACGCTTAACGCTCAAGACTTAGCTTAAAAACAACATGGAACCAAACTGTGGTTTTAATTTTCCTCTCTGCCAGCCAAGTGATGCTAAGTTGAAACTTATGTGCTTTCTCAAGAATAAAAGAAGTGTTGTAATTTGACAAGTGAACTTCCATAAGCTGCGGATTTATTTATTACTTCCTGTACAGTTCCTGTCCTTCAAAGTGCGAATTTAGGGCAAAACTCTAAAAGCAAACAAAAAACCACCCCTATAGGAAGCAGGTCTGCTTACAAAATAAGAGCAACACAAGTGCCATCCCTGTTCTGCTTCCTTCTGTTCCCACCCGACCACATGAAGCCAATGCAGTAGCGCCAGGTGCAAGCTGTGTATATGGTTTCTGACCATCAAGGTCAGCGTTCCTGCCCGCTGCCCGCTTTGTGCCCAACACAACCGTGAACGAGGCCGAAACTCAGTGATTCGAATGTTTTGAGTTAAAACAGAAAGCTGTGGTGCAAAACAGGAACTAGTAAGTTATGGGTATGGAGGTGAATGTCTTGCGTTTCACCAGCAAGGAATAAGTCTGGACTTGCCAAGTCACGCTCGTAGGAGTAGTTCCTTCCATACTAAGGCTCTTCTGGCAGTGCAGCTCGTGTTCCTGCCCCGGTGCATTTCCTCACTGTTGTGGAGCTGCTTGAATAACTTTTCTGATCTAATCTAGAAAACTCAAAAAAAAAAAAAAAAATCAAGTCTTCCTCCTTCCTCACATTTGTTCTTCTATCAAGACCACACAACCAGCCTCGGCAGAGCTGAGGGGGTGACACCGTTGGGGCAGGAGGACAGGAAGCTCAGTGTGGCTTTCTGTCGGAAAACCCCGCTGTGGAAATGTGCTGGCAGAAGCTTAGGTCGCGCTTCAGCATGGATTCAGGTAACTTGAGGATGCTCCTACCTACGCCCCACTGACAGCCGGCTCTCAATACGTTGCTATAGCTAGTCTTGCTTTGGGTCTGTCGCTAGGAACGTACACAAGATGTCTTTATCGTTTAATTTGAAAGTGCCCCTTGGCAGGGACCCTCCAGCTGTTCACTGACCACAGCTGTATTGCTTTAGAGCATCCTACTCAAAGGTGCATATTTGCACGCTCTGCTGGGTATTCAAGCAACAGGTTCTGACAGCGCTCCACACGAAAAATCTTCTGTAAGTGGTGCACAGGTTAGAACAGAAAAAATATTTTACTTTTGGGTGGTGGGATAGTCTTGTTTGGAGAACTTCTACTCAAACAACCTTGAGCTTGCATCACAACCAACACCCACTCTTGTCTGCTTAGCCCTTTACGTATTCCATATAAACAAATACATTGAAATAGGCACAATTTATGATTCTGAAACATTTACATGTATGGTACTACACGTTTTTACTGTCTCATATGGGATTTTTAAATCCCATTATTTACAATGAAATCCACCGTTTTACTTGTCCTGCCACCTCTTTAGCTGATCAAAATGAAACCTGGGCCTTGGAAGACTGCAGAAATGACCAAGGCCCAGTACTGAACCCCAAGCTGGTGTATGGTGCTAGCTGGTACGGGTTGCTGCTGTTGACTGTACTTCAGATTAGCATGGTCGCTCCGTCTTCTTTAAAGAAACAGATGTATCCCACTTATGCCACCAAGCCAAGTCTTGTAATCTTTGCTGACAGGAAGGAATGAATGATGAACACAATTGGTTTTGGACAGGAATGAAGGTCCAGTTGCTGCAAGTACAGAAAGAAATCAAGTTGAGAATGATTAGATTAGATTACAGCTCAAATAAGCAATCATTTACAGAGTACTTGATTAACTGCTGCCTGGTATTTTGAACAGGCTTCTATTAATAACAGCCCTTTATTACAACATACTGTCTTTCCTTTGCATACAGCTGCAAATATTTAGGTTACTAAAAGTAAGTAGTAAGCATCTTGAGAGCAGATGAGATCCTGGTGCCTCTGGGCTTGCATCCACCTGGGTAAGCAGCAGCAGCAGCAAACTGAGTCAGATGCTGCAAGCAGTTTTCCAAGAGGTTCAACCCCTCCATCTTTTCAGGCTCTGTTTTGGACCAGGGATGATGGTGGGACTGCTGTGTCCAGTACCCAGTGCATCTGCTGGTGGTCACAGCTGAAGCCAGGATACTGCACCTTCAGCTAATGCCGCATGGTTGCTCCCCTGTTCACACAGCCAGCAGCGAGACTGAACTGAGACTTTTTTTTTCCATAGTCACGGTTCAGATGATCTCACCACAGGCTGGCTAAGCATGACAGACTTGTCAGTGTGGACAGCAGGTTCAACAGTAGGTTCACATCAAAATAGACCAGATTTACCTTTCCACCAGTCACGTATCAACTTTATTGAGAGCTAGTAACAAATTCCCTTCTGAAAGCCTGACAATAAGCAGTTTGCAGAGTATGTGTTATCAAAGGTGATGTGAAGAATTAAGCACTCAACGTGCTCAGGAACTGCTGAAAAAATTTGGCAGGAAAGACCATGTTTACATGCATAATTTATAGTATCTAACAGCTTGTAGGAATAAGCACCTTATTTTTAGGCATTGTGACAGCTAACTTAGAGGCCTAAGCAGACAGTTGGCACTAAATCTGTAGTCTTCAATTTTTTTCAGCAGCTAGATGTTAAAAAATGTCTAAAACATAGCTTGTTGTCATAACATAAAGTCCCTATGTGTACACGGGAATTAATAATATCTCATGCTTAAGTTCTTCCACCCACAATCATTTAAAAATTTAAATGGATACATACAAAAATTCTAACATCTGGCTATGTAGAGATACAACTTGTTCTTAAATGTAAGAAATCTTTCATCCCTCTTTGCATGGTTTTACCATTTTATCTTTCTTTTTAGTTTATCTCCTTCTAAAGCCAGATCGTCATGCTGTACTAGAAAGCACAGTGTCTAAATACTGGTACTGGAACCTGGTACTGGCCAGCTGTTATTAGAACAGAATAGAACAGAATACAATATTTCAGTTCGAAGGGACCTATGACGACCATCTAGTCCAACTTCCATTAGCACTTCTCCACCCCCACAGCCTGAAGGACCACCAAAGAGATGGTAACGTGCATCCCTTTGCTAAACGCAGTACTTACAATTTCTCCATCCTTTCCTCCAAAGTCTAAATAAAGCATCCTTATCCCATCATCTGAGGACATTTTCAGTTTTTCGTAGGGATATTGTGCAATTGTCTTAGAGAAGGCACCATCTTGCGGTTCAGTTGTAAGAGAGAATCCATGTTCATAATGGATGGTCAAACGGCACTCCTGGCTTTTATATGTGCAAGCTGAAGAAGGAAACAAAATACAGTCTGTGACTTTCTTAAAAGCAACAAATTCCATTTGGCTGCAGATAACTGCATTTTACATTTGATTTCAACACTATCTTGTGGAAACTAACCTTTCCTAAAACTGGGCTAATCATGCTCTAATGGTAAACCTGCAGATTCAGAAAAACAACAGAAATCTTTCTGTTACGCAAGGTCCAAGCAAGGTTTGTTAGCGTCGTGGTTTAACCTCAGCCAGCAACTGAGCACCACACAGCCGCTCGCTCACTCTCCCCAGCCCCAGTGGGATGGGGGAGAGAACCAGAAGGGTAAAAGTGAGAAAACTTGTGGATTGAGATAAGAACAGTTTAATAATTGAAATAAAATAAAGTAAAATAGTAATAATAGTAATATAAGAATAATAAAAAAAGAATATACAAAGCAAGTGATGCACGATGCAATTGCTTACCACCTGCTGACTGATGCCCAGCCAGTCCCCGAGCAGCGGCCCCCCCGGCCAGCTTTCCCCAGTTTATGTACTGAGCATGACATCACATGGTATGGAATGTTTCTTTGGCCAGTTTGGGTCAGCTGTCCTGGCTGTGCCCCCTCCCAGCTTCTCGCTGGCAGGGCATGAGCAGCTGAAAAGTCCTTGACTAGTGTAAGCACTGCTTAGCAACAACTGAAACATCGGTGTGTTATCACATTATTCTCATACTAAATCCAAAGCACAGCACTGTACCGGCTACTAGGAAGGAAATTAACTCTATCCCAGCCAGAACCAGGACTGTTAGTTATGGTGTAAACACACAGACTAAAATTGCGCTCAGCAGTACTGATGTCAGTCCTTGCAGTTATTTGTTGCGTTCTTCACGTTGCAGCATACATCTACATGCTGACACAAAAACAATCTACTGAAGTTTAAGAAGTCTCAGGCTGGCATTTCCTCCTTCCAAACCTCGACAAAGTCACAGCTACTCTTCTTCTTACATCTGACAGACATAGCCAAAATCAATAAAAGTGGCATACAACACACAAGAAAATTAGAAGCCGTAAAGGGTTTCCCTGAAGTATTTTGACAAAGATGAAGACACACCTGAGTCCTCCTTAGTGTCGTGGTAATTGAAAAAGGGCCCAGATAATTGTATATAATAGCTACTGCAGCAGAAAGTCTGCATCTTCCCCTCAGCTCAGAAACATAGGCCATGATCCAAATTAAAAAATGAATAGTTTAGGTGTTCACATCTCAAATTCTCTTTTCCACCACTTCCCTGTGAACAATTCTGCCAAGAAGGGTCCTTGACACTGGGATAAAAGCACCGCGATAAAAGAAGGGGCTCCTCCTCCTGCTTTTGGAAAGGCATCCATGTCACTGGGCTGAGGAGATGGACAAGCCCTCGAGGTGCTTCCCACCGAACACTCTGGTTGGTTTCCACGTCAGAGGCCCTCGCAAAGCAGCCTGAGCTCCCCGCGAGGCACGGGGCCTGGCAGCCTACGGGCCTGCGTCCCTGTGCTCAGCAGCACGTGGCTGTACCTGATGGCTTCACGAAATTGCAGCTGCTCTTTGTCATGGAGCGGATTTGTGCTTTGACTCTTGCTCTCACATTTTTAGGCAACGAGCAGAGATAATATTCAACTTTTATAGCCCTGTCAACTGGAGAGCTAGTGGGGGAAGGACTCCCAAATCTTGGGGGCACTCAAGAGAAAAGCACAGCCTCAAAGACCCAGAGCCACCCCAGCCTAGCAGCTACCTGGCTGAACAGGGCATCACTCCACAGCATCTGCAGCTGATTACTTTTATTCCAGTCGATTTTGTATGTACAGAAGTGCTCAGAAGCGACACCCTGATGTTCAGGGAGGGAAATGACTAGCCGTCAAAATGTGGCTATTGGACTGGTTTGTATTTTTTTATTATTCTCAAGTGTGCAGAGCTGGGTGAATAAATGACCAATTCACGCTTGTGAATGTGCTGGTACTCCTCTGCCTCCTCCCTCTGCAGGAGAAACTCCTGCCAGGCTCTCAGGAGTCTCCTGAATCTCAGAAAAATGTTCTTTTCTGTGGGCTTCTGGACAAACCTCTGATGATCACTCCTCTGTGACACGCAGCCCTATATGGCTGACTACAGACTTGTGTCTGAAACAACATGCCAAAACCAAGACCAAAAGTCAGAATTATAGTGACTGTGTCACTGACCGCAGGTACCACACCAGCTGGGACTGGCTCAGAAACCACGGAGACAATATTTTAAACACATAGAACCCTAAATATGCACTTTTTTTTTAATGAATCACCTCTAGCAGAAGGAGCTTGAACTACCCACGAGTGTCAGGAGGAGGTGTGGAGACGCGGTGCCGCAGGTGTAACTCACATGTGGTGATTTCCGTGATGAGCTCCGCAGAATTGTGGCAGCCCTGCACTACGCTCCTCGTCCACAGTGAGAGGTCTCGGCTAGTCTCCGTCCTGAACACATGGGTTTCAATCCCTTGCCTTGTACCGGTACGGGTTGCGAAAGACAAATCCACCCCTAACTGCGGTGAGCCTTTTCCTGGGCCAGAATGGACCAACCTGCAATTGGATTTGAAAACACATCAGGGAATTATAACGCTGACACAGCGCACTGCACCAAAATCCCCACCTGAGCACAGCTCTGCTCTGTACGTTCCTAAATGCACGTGGGTGGGAGCACGAGAACTCACATCTCCTCTGTATTTGAGCCTAAAGTGACTCCTAGTGACATGCAGAAGAGTGAAGGTCCAAAGCAGTGAGTACTGAAGCAGTGGGACATGCAGGTGATAATGGGGATGTCCCAGGGGGCCCTAAATTGCTAACGAATTGTAGAAAACACCCCTTTGGATGAGGAACCACCAACTGGTCTGTGGTGCACAGATACAAGTGCTCGCTCAGATGAGGCATCTGAATCTGGCTTTCACTGTCAGGCTGCAGTTGCCATAAAGCTTAAATATCCACAGACAAATTCAATGATAAATGCTGTCAGATAAAGTAAGAAGTTCTGTAAAATGTGCGGATGCCCAAGTACTGTCTTGTGCATACTTTTCCCATAAGGAACCTGCAAAACGCAAAATGCTGCAGCTATTTGTAATCTGAAATTCTCTCGCATTTTGCTGCTATTAACATTTTTTTGCCTGGCATCAACAGCTGATCTCCCATGACCAGGAGGGGTTTGTTCATCTGGGCAAACACTAATTGCAGGGAATATTTTTGAGAGAGAAAATCAACACCTCATAATATTTAATTCTTCTTTAAGACTGTCCTTTTGGGTTTTTTCCCTGCAGAAGTGTGGACAGTAAATACAGAATTCGCGCAGGGACATGACACCGATTTAGATGAAAATAATAATCCAGAAGAGTTCATCATTCTTTGAGGCTCAGGCATTAACCTTCCGAGGGAGTCACAAAATGAAACCACGGAAATTCTTCTGAAAAGCTTATTTCTGTCTTGTTTCCCTTTCCATAGGCAAACAATATACTTCATATGAGACTAAAAAGTAAGTATGTAGCATGGTAGTAGAATACTTCTGCTGAAGCATAAAACATTAGATTATACTAATCATCTACTGAATGCCAATTCACCCTCAAATTATTGTTTTGCATCTGGAAGAATAGTTGCCTGTTAGCTGACACTGTAGAAGTGTGCCATCAAACAGAGATGTTTTAATAGGAAAAAAAAGCAGAAAGGAAAGAAAAAGCACAACTTTAGCTTTTCAGTTATTGAAACACTAACCATAGGGCATTTAAAATTTTCCCCAATTCCCTGGCAGTCTGTGCTGATATTTGGGATGCGCATTGTGCTGATCAGAGGTGTCCCTCTTTCATACCCCACTAGAAGGTTTGCAAGATTTGTTCATGCTCAGGTTCGTGGTAACTTCCTTTGGATTTTGAGCATCCGCCTTGATTTCATGGTCCCAGGAGGTCCCAGGAGGCAAGGGGCAGAGTATCCGGGACAGAGCTGCCCTGCCCTGTGTCTGGGCAGGAAAGCCTCTTCCAGAGAGGCACCACCACCCTCTCCAAATGCTTTTTTTGCTTCCAGAAGGGCTGTGTTAACGCCCTGCTCAGGTTTGATACTCGGAGCCTTTTGTATCAGAACTAGTGTGGCCAGCAGGAGTAGGGAAGTGATTGTCCCTCTGTACTCGGCACTGGTGAGGCCGCACCTCGAATACTGTGTTCAGTTTTGGGCCCCTCACTACAAGAAGGATGTTGAGATGTTGGAACGTGTCCAGAGAAGGGCAACGAGGCTGGTGAAGGGTCTAGAGCACAAGTCTTATGAGGAGCGGCTGAGGGAACTGGGGTTGTTTAGCCTGGAGAAAAGGAGGCTGAGGGGAGACCTCATCGCTCTCTACAACTACCTGAAAGGAGGTTGTAGCGAGGTGGGTGTTGGTCTCTTCTCCCAAGTAACTGGCGAAAGGACGAGAGGAAATGGCCTCAAGTTGCGCCAGGGGAGGTTTAGATTGGACGTGAGGAAAAATTTCTTTACTGAAAGAGTGGTTAAACATTGGAAGAGGCTGCCCAGGGAAGTGGTTGAGTCACCATCCCTGGAGGTATTTAAAAGACGTGTAGAAGTGGTGCTTAGGGACATGGTTTAGTGGTGGACTTGGCAGTGTTAGGTTAACGGTTGGACTTGATGGTCTTAAAGGTCTTTTCCAACCTAAATGATTTTATAATTCTGTGATTCTAACTGCACCTCAGGCAGATTTTGCAGTCGAGGAGTCAATGGCAAACAAACAGCCCAAAAACTTTTATTCACTTTGATTTGACATGAGGAGGTGCAAACTCTGAGGAGAAGCTGCATCTTGATAATTGAGGCAGGAGATCGGGAACTGAAGTCTCCAGTGACTTCTGCTGCTGCCTGGCCCCGTCCAGTCACTGAGGCGCAGGCAGGGCTGCTGCTCTCACGCTGCCTTCTGCTACCGGGGGGGCGGGGACGGACAACTGCGGGAAAGCAGTCTGGAAAATAACATCAACTTTGTCGTTAAAAATAAAACTATCCCAGTTTCTCCCTGGGTCACCCCTTCTCTTTTATACAGTGCTCATCAGCTGTGCTAAAAATTGTTTTCTAATACTTGTGATACTGGATATGTGACAGACAGATGGTTCCAATGTTTTATTTTCTTTCAAATCCCCCCCCCCCCCCGCTCCCCTCCGTCTTCATGCTTTATCCATAGCACTGGCATTGTAGGTTTTTCAGCATATGGATAGAATGAAGATGCGCTTTACAAATTAAAGTATGTGGACACATCCAACATGAACATGGTTTCTTGCCTGCCTTCTCATTTGCATTATCCCCTCATTATTAAAAATTCAGTCTCACTATTTAAAAATCCATTTCTATCATACAACTCCAGATTGTGCTTTGGCAAATCATGCAGTTAAACATGAACTAGACAAATATGCAGGGGAACATTTGATAGTATTTATCTATCAGCTGTCAGTACTGATGTATTTGGGTACAGGTCAAAGGATTCCCACGCTTTCATAAAGTTTCATTCACGTGAGCTGTCTCATTTATATAAAAGATATTTTATCCTAAAGACCACAAAAATACCTTAAAAGGCAAAAAATAGTCTTAGAAACTTCACAGAAGACTTCCCCTTGCCCCACCTCCCGTCACTCGACCACAGCGGAGGTTGTGTGCGTGGTACATGCTGCACCCCAGAGCTGAAAAGGCACCTCAGGTCCAGCTTTGGTAATATTCAACCGCAGTCCCTGAAGGTTACGGGGCTCCATGGAGGTTTCTGAGATGTCTGTGAGCGCGCAGGAACCCGAACATGCTTCCCTGGAGCAGCCAGAGCCGCAAGAGGGCAGGAGAAGGTTGGTCACGATGAATTCTGTTTGCACAGCGCGTAGATAGCAGGCAGTGGCTGTAAAATGCAACTCTCGGCATGCCCCAGGGAGCCAGGGAGACGCTTCTAATCTTCTCTAATTTCTCCCTTGTCTCTCTCTGTTTTGGGGACCTTTTGAGCATTATTCTTTGCAAATGTGTGATAGCAAGATGACTACGGGCCAATGTGAAGTGCTGGTGCTGGGTGAGACTCGCTGGGACCTGCTTCTCATTCTAATGCTATGAAAAGAGTTTCAACCATTTACTGCAACAGCAAAATCTAATGGCCTCTTCAAAAAGGACAGCGAAACCAGCACTGACATTCAAAGCCAGTGTTCAGCTGCTCATTTCAGATTTATCTCAGAAGAGGCCGTAATACAAGTGCATCAACAGTCATGCAGCTCTGCCCAGTAGAAAGCCACTATCATCTGACCTTTCTTATCTTGAAGCCGCTCCTTACCCCTGACTTAGCATTTGAAACCTGCTCTGGAATGGCTGTACTCTTTGGAAACCTAGGCACAGGCCCTCATTCATCCGAGCTCTGCATGGAGGGAGCCACAACCACCCTCACTGTCCTGGGAAGATGAGCGGACAACTTGCACCGCTTGCACGCCACTTCATACACCTTCCCTGGGGTGCTCAGGGACCCCAGTGCTCCCTGCCTGCCCCCATCTCTGCTTGCACAGCTGACTAATTGGTGCCCAAACTCCTTTCCCAACTTTCCATGGCATTAACTATCAAACTGCTTTAATACTTTCTGGTTACAGATCTCAGCTTGACACAAAAGCTACTTACCTGATCTTTAATCAGAGTCCAACATGGGCTGCTTTCTTTTTTTTTTTTTCATTTCATATCTGGCTACGATAGATAACGCAATTTGATTGCAAACATTTAAGATGTAATTACTTAAGCCCCATTCCCATGCTAGAGGGAGGCACTGTTATTCAGGCATAAGGAAACACTGAAACAGAGATTATGACACAAAGGTCCTTGGAGTCAGGGCTATGAGCCAGCTGCTGTGCCTCCCGGTGCAGAGATTTAAAGGAACACCTTGAATCTCCTCATGGCAGTTTTATTTGAGCTATCACTTATTTTCTGCACAGAGCTGGGAAAGACTGACTGGAAAATATTTTTAGGTCTTAATAACATCCATAGGTTGAAGGCAAACTTATTAACAAACAGAAAGGGCATGTTGAAATTCTGCTGTTAAAATACTGGAGGAAGATTGTAATCCTTCTACCACTTTCCAATTTTCTCTGCTCATTTTGTCTTGGGTAGATTAAGCATGACTCTGTACTGTATCTGGCAGTGAAGTTTTCCAGTTTCAGCAGCTTTTCAAATATGCATTAGCTAAGCAAAATTTTTTCCTAAGGACTTATAAAAATCCGAAAGATGGGAGCAGCCAAGATTACAACATGTGGTCTGCAAACTTTCCAGGTGAAAAGTTCTAAATTGCACTGATCAATGCACAGAGGGGATTAAACAACCCATCACGAGGAGGGTAATCACTGACTGAGCATGAACACAGCAGTCAACACCAACAGCAAACCCTGTGTATTTTTTTGGTATAACTGTACTCAGTGTGACAGATCATAAAAGCAGAATCCTGCAGGGTTTTAATCAAAATCATCCAAAACAGTAGGGGTAATGATTTAGGGAATCTGTCAATTTATGTAATCTGCTCACCTTGGGGATTCATGTATTTATATGTATTTATCAGATTGCGACTCCATTCTGAATGTCAAGTTTGGTATATCTTCTGTCTTTTTACCTGAGTGTTAAATTCACAGCGATACTAGTAATAAATCACAGAGATGGGGCTGGAATGGTTCTTAGGAGGTCACCCGGTGCATCTCCCTTCCCAGAGCAGGGCTAACTGTGCCGACACACTCCTGAGGGTTACAGTGTCACCTGTCCTTCAAAGTCCCCAGTGATGAGGATAGTACACCTTTCCTAGAGAACCTAATCCAGTACCTCATCTGCACACCAAGTTTTTCCCAGGACCTTCCCTGACTCCCCCCTGCCACAAATGCAGCCAACTATGTCCTGTTGTATCCAGCAGGGACCTGGAGAACATGCTCTCCTGTCCTCCTTGTGTCTCATCTTCATACTTGAAAGCTATTGACATGTTTTCCGTGGACTTCTCTAGACTTAACAACTAAGGTTTCTTAAGTATTCCCCTACTGATAGTGTTTTCTACATTTGCATTGCTTTCTTCTAGACCTTCCACAGTTAACTGGCATCTTTTTGGAAGTGCAATGCCTCACATGAAGATGGTGTATCATGCTCTGTAGTTAGGTTAGATTACTACGTCTGCCCAACATGCACCACTTCTGCTATAACCCAAGATGATTGTCTTTGTTTTCTCAACAACATAACACTGTCAATTTAAGCAATTTCGCCACGCTGCCACAATGCTTCCTGGCAGAGTAACTACTTTGTCAGTTGATCTCCACCCCAAACCAGCACAGCTGATTATTCCCCAGCACTGAACTTTGTACTTGTCCTTTCTGAACCACATCCCGTCTTTCTTACAGACCATTCTCCCAGTCTGTAAAGACCCTTCAGCAGCCTGACACCTGTGGTCAAGCAACCTCTCATTCCCCTCCAGCCTGAAGGCCGATGCTCCTCCACTCACACGGGAATCCCATCGGACAAGGAGATGACTATCCTCACCAAAGGCAAGCCTGTCTGCTATCAAATCTGAACTCCTGAGAAAAAGTAATTAACAGGCCCTCCAAGATGAGGACTTAGATTGTTTGATCCGGTAAATCAGTGGTTGCTGCCAATGGGGGCTGGCGATGCCCACCAAAGGGCTGTCTTTCCATGTGATGACATGGGCAGGAAGGGACAGGGTGTGCTGCAGGATCTCCAGGCACTGTAAGGCGGAGGACTTTGGTCCATGTACTAATGACATAAATGAGACCCTGAAGCACTGGGGAGGAGACGCATCACCTTCTGCTGGGGTGCTCTTGCTTCACAAACTCTAAGGCCTTAGTGACACACCTGGACGCAGCCTCCGGCTCCAACACCTTACCCAGTTTTTATCAGGAATTGCCACCTGGAATTGTCAACATTCACCGCCATGACGTGCGGCAGGCTGCAAGCTGCAAAGCAGGGGGCTCTTGCCTCATGTTACGATAACAAAGGGTGAGTCAGAAGCCAGCTTCCCAGGAAGTCTGAAAGCTCCATCATGGGTAGGTAGACTGGGACAAAACAACCATCAGCGTAATTCACCGAGTTCAATTTTTTTTTTTTAATATAATGATTTAGCAGCAAAGCCTCAGTTCATTTGGGGAGAGAACTAAGAGACCAAGAACAAAAATTAACTAATGAGGGTGCAGTAAGAGACACACTGCTTTCAGCCACGTGCTACCAGCCCTTCTGAATGCTCATTGAAAATGGTATAATAGAGGCCTGTAGCAAGGCCAAAACAATGGAAGAGCAGCTCTTTCTCAAGCCCTTTGACCATACTGGCAGAGAAATGTGATTAAGATTCACATCAAGAAGAACAGACAGTTTCTACTGCATAAAGACAACCATGGGAAAGGTCTGTCTGAATTAGTGTTGATGGATACCTTTGAAATAATGCAGATTTCCAACCTAGATTCAAGAATGTGTCTTCCAAGCTCACCATTTTAAGCTAAAAAAGCCAGGAATTCATTTGTTAGAGCAGGAACACAACCCGTGCTGAAATTAAGTGTCTCCATCACATGTGCGAACCCCCAAAAGCCCCAAACTGGTGGCGCAGAACTGCCACAGCAGCATGTCCAACTCCGGGCAGCAATTTCACGTTTTTCAGTCTGGAGGAGTGGCTGGAAATCTGAGTGCTTCTGCCAGGCCCTCAGGTCTGTACACTGAGATAGAAATCTCAGGAGATCGAGCTCTTGGCTTTTTCAGCACTCCTACCTCTGGATCTAGGCCAAACGGCCGCATCCATAATCCTTCTGGTGTGCTTCTGGCCATCAGCCTCCGCCAGAACTTGAAACAGAGAAGTGACGAGTTAAACTGAGCACATTGGCCCATTGAAGAAGAATCTGTTTCCCAAACCACGACATTTCAAGTGTGATCTACAGCCAGGCACCAGCTATACCTGTCCTCTGCTGACTCAGCCATTCCCACCGCTCTTGAAGTGGTTGTAATAAAAAAGCACAAGTACCTGGTGGCTAGCAGGGGGTAGGTATGCAGAGGGCTGAACCAAGCTTCCTTCATCCGCGGCATGCTCTCATATATTAAGAGGTCTTTCTCCGTCAAGACCACTAACACTGGCTTCCAGTGCTTCTCATTGTCTCCTGGCACCTGAAAAAGAGCAAAGTCTCAGTGAAACAACAAGAGACAAAGCTACCATCGTGGAAAGCCTGACAATATGAACATGCTGAGTCCTGGGTGAGATAATGAACAAGAGAGAATTTTACTTCTTTGGCTTTTTGACATCTCCCACCTGAATTTATAACCAGCTGCAGCAGAAATGGAGTAAAGTGCAATGACATCTGCTGCTCTCAGATGCCATTTCCAGCCCTTTTTGCAGCCTTCCCTTACTGCAGGCTTCTCCATAAATACAGTAGTGGAAGAACACTGAGACAGAGCTGGCTGTTATTTAGCTGTGGTATGCATGAAAGGACCTTAAATGTATATTTATAATGTGCACCATTCATATGTAGCTGGCAAATTAACCTGAGTGCTGGCCACTGTTGCTGCTGTTTCTATTTTCATGACTGAAAAAAGCTGCAGCATCATCACTATTAAAGAAGAGTGTCAGGTAGTAAAAAATAGTGGTTTGGGAGCAGATGCTTTTTTCCTCAGCAGTTCACATTTTCATTGCTCCTCCTTCCTTGATACCCTTCTTCCTTCCCAACAGTTTTACAAGTGCCAATCTGTAAAGAGATCCAACCTAAACATGGGCTTGACTCAGTGATGGATCTGCATCTGTATTTCAAACCCATCTGTAGAAGATGTCTAAAAACTTGGGCATCAGAGCCCTTTACTGGCTGCAGAATGTGGAATTATATTTTGCAGGCTAGGCATGTGGTCATCCACATGGCTACACAATTACCATTATGGGGATCAAGTATGGATCCTGATTTTTACTTATTCTACACTGGCAGCATGGAAGTGTCTTAAAATATATGGGAATATGAAAGGGTCTTAGTTTCAAGTCAGAATGAAGCTCTTGGCTTTCACAAACAAATTCATCATTTTCCTTTTGGTGCACATAAAGAAAAAGAAAGAGAAACCACGTTACATAGTACACTCACAGCCATGCTTTCAAACCCACACTTCTTGGCGGGGTACTAAAGGGAATTAAACAAATTCTGAGATTCACTAGACAATCAGGTTGTCTATGTGACTCCTCCATTAAAACCTTCTCCAGGAAAGAGAAGCAGTTGTCTACGGTGTTCTGTGGTTGATGCCAGACTACTTGCCATGGGCGTGTGTCACTGGGCACATCACTGGGTGGAGAAACATATAAAAGGGATCAATCAAAGGTTGGCCAGGCTGAGAGTGGCACAGCCAGGAATGGTGATTCAGATCCTTAAGCACGATGTGCCTTAAGTGATGGATTCAGATTGAGAACTGCATTTGAAACACTTGTATTTTATATGAAGAAAGGGTCCCACAAATTTCTGAACTTTTAAGGACTTTCAAGACAGTTGTAAGATAGCTTCGCACCACAACACCAATGCCCAAAGCAGATCTTAAACCAAAGATTTTTGGCTTACATCGTTTTTAAGAGGTATTCTTCCTTCTGAATTAACCTTTTCCAATAATTATATTCCTGTTTACAGCATTACTTGCTCATTGGTTGTTCATGTCTCTGCGTTAATCAACTTAAACTCATAAAAGGTTCATCCTCTTAATTTCTTCAGAAGTGTCAATACTTTTTACAATTTTCTTGTGGTGACAGTTTCTTGAAATGCAACCTTTCATTTTCAAATAGGGCTGAATAAAGAAGCCGCATAATTAACACACCTATTAATACACTCCAGAAAGAATGCAAAATCCAGAGTTCTCGCAGCCTATGTACCATGGAAATATTCACATGAGCAAAAAGCATCCTCACCTTCTTAATACCACAGTTATTAACTACAGCTAACACCCCAGTTCCTAGCATGGGAATATAGAAATAAATGTTACAGTTAACGTCAACATTTAATTTTTGAGCACCTGCCTGTGTTCTTTAATTCAAATATTTTAGTACATACTTTCCAGAAAAGAAAAAGGAAGATAAATATGAAGTCGATCATAGGATGAAGCAGCAGGATGTTCAGATCCATAATCTGGAGGAGTAAGCAGGCAGCGTACTGGGCTGTTACTTCTTATTTTTCTATTCTGTGACCACAAGCAATCCAAAGAGTACGGGAAGCTGCTCACAGCTTTTCTGCAGAACCATCCTGCCTCTGTAGCATTTTCAATCACAAGTTTTGTTATTAGGTGGCTGGTCAGTCAACAGAGACTCCAGAAACTTTGGGAAACACTGTTCCCTGTAAAACAACCACAATAAAGGGAATAAAATTCATTTTGCCAGCTGGTCCCACAACTATTTGCTGGACAGCTGTAAACATCAGGAGCCAGAATTTCCAGCACGGGTCCTGCGGTTACCACCTGCACAGCCAAGCCCACAGCTTTGCCACAGTCCTTCCCAATAGCAGGGTGACTATGGGGAAGACGTGGCTCGGTCATAAGGTATTGAAGACCTTTTCTCAAGTATAAGTGACCTTCTACTACGTCTCCTTGTAGGTTGTATGCCCTGTTTGTAGGGTGTATACTGGGAAAGAGAGAGAGGAGAACAATGTTTGCCTGTGTCCTGCTAGGAAGCCCTCCCCAGTACGACAGGCCATGCAATACACACACACTTTTAATCACATTTTTTAAACCTTGCTGGGACCATAGCTGTCTCACCACTAAGGAATGCTGCTGTAAGCAATACTGCTGCTATTTCAGACCTGAAGAAGGATTGTGTGCCTGAAAGCCTGTCTGTTTTTTTCCAACTGTAACAGCTGATCTAATAAAAGAGATTGCCTTTCCTTAAAAACCTTGAATTGCATTACTGTTCCCTGATTTTGCTGGGGTCTGGATTAGGCTTTAACAGATGATGCTGTGCTGTTGACAGGCATTTGGCACTTCTGGAAAGTGTCAAAGAGAACACGCTGTCCCATAAATGGTAATAGCAAATTTTACAAAGGAAGAAGAGAGGCTGCAAATATACCATTAGCCTACAGGGCACATTCAGAACAAATCAGCATGGGAAATTAATCCAGATCAAGCAAGTGTCATACCAAGCATCAGTATAATAGCAAATTACAAAACAAAAGCAAAAACCATGCTGCTTACGGGCACCCAAGTGAAGGGTTTGTTCAAATTTTAAAGGTTTTAAAATCTGACATATCATAAAGATAACATGAAATACTTCTGTAAGAGTAAATTTAAGTATCATTTGAGATACATTTTAGAGGTATCATTTTAGATGACTGTTAGGGCCAGCTTCTTAGCCAGAATTTTGCAGAATTCTGGGACTCGCGCTACAGTTTCTTCATTCCGGTTCCCACTTGTACACATTGTTGTGGTTTAATGCCAGCCAGCAACTGAGCACCACACAGCCACTTGCTCACTCTCCTCCCCCCCTTCCCCCCCGCAGTGGGATGAGGATCGCCATTCTAATCCCAAAACTTATAAAGGCTCACCAGATCTAGCTTTCAGTAATAACATACTTAATTGCATTATTGTCATGGTTTAACCCCAGCCGGCAAGTAAGCCCCACACAGCCGCTCACTCACTCCCCCTGTGGTGGGACGGGGGAGAGAATCAGAAGAGTAGAAGTCAGAAAACTTGTGGGTTGAGATAAGAACAGTCTAATAATTGAAATAAAATAAAATAGTAATAATAATAACAACAATAGTAATAAAAGAATATACAAAGCAAGTGATACACGATGCAATTGCTCACCACCTGCCGACCGATGCCCAGCCAGTCCCTGAGCAGCCACCCCCCCGGCCAGCTTTCCCCAGTTGATGTACTGAGCATGACGTCACATGGTATGGAATGTCCCTTTGGCCAGTTTGGGTCAGCTGTCCTGGCTGTGCCCCCTCCCAGCTCCTTGTGCCCCTCCAGCCTTCTCAGTCGGTAGAGCATGGGAAGCTGGAAAGTCCTTGACTAGTGTAAGCACAGAATTCAAAGTACGTTGATCTGTGTTGCAGACAAATAAAATCACCATCCACTCTAAAAAACTTTTCAAACTCAACCCTTTATCAAAGTCAAAAATGTCAGATCAAATCTAGATGAACTAGAGAAAAGAAAAATCAGTACTCCTCAAAGCTCCCACCACAATAAAATGAATCAGCAAATTTTTTGCTGGTCTTGGCACTGTTCAGGTAACTCTAAGCAACAGGTACCAGTGCCCCTTCTCCAGGCTCTGCTCATCTCAGCTGAGGTCACTGCTCATATTCCCAGGTGAAATTCCACTTCAAGTCAATGAAGCTGTAAATGCTTATAGCAGAAGCAAACTTGTGGGTTTTTTTTTCTTTGCTAGACACACTGTGCCTCTAGATCAAAGTCTTCAAGTACAAACCTGAAAAGGGAGAACATATTCTAACAAAAAAAACCCAAGTGCGGTGAAGCATCCTTTTTGTTACTCGCAAACCTCTTTACTCCTCACATACTCACCCCGTGAAGTGCAAACCCCACTTTTCCCCATATGCACCTCTCTGGTTTACCTTTCCAAACTCAGAAAATATTTCATGTATGGCAGGGATGAAAGCTAATTTTTTTGTGTATGACAACATGATGGCTGGGCCTGGGATGACACCAAAGGAGACCTGCATTCACACCTTGCTCGGCCACAGGCTTCGTCTGCAAAGTCAGTCTAAATGCTCTGCATTTCCATATGGACATCGTGGTCTCTGCTGGGGTGGCAAGTGCTGCCGTAACACACACAGACATAAACGTGAAGGTGGACAAAAGTGCACAAGAACGGCAGCTGTATTTCAGCAGCTACGTGGAGACTTGTCCATCAGCCTTTGGCTGACACAAGAGCAAAAGTGCTTCAATGCAGAAAGCAGACAGCTCACACAAGCGTTAGGACACGCCAGACCCCACCGCACCGAGGATGCGCCTGAGCTCTGGCTGCTTCTGGATGCCTTTGCAGTGGTGGGGCAGCATCGCTCCAGGCTTTGCTTTAGGGCCAGATCTGGGGTCTGAAGGACTGACTCTGCAAATAACAACGTAGCAAGCTCAACACTACCTGTAGGACTGCTCCTGCTGGTTTTCTGGCAACTGCTCAGGTGCTTAAGGCCACTGCTTGC